TAAAAATGCAAATCAGGGTAAGTTTACTGAGCAGAGTCTTCAGAAGCCTTGATGACCTTGCAAAGATGGGCATTGTCTATTTGGGGCCTGGTTTACAGACGGGCACGAGAAGATCTCCCCAGAAAGTAACAACACCATCGACTGTGATTCAGAGGAAACAGTATGCAAAGATGATGGAATCAGAACAATGGAATAGTGGAAGTATAATATGAAGCTGTTCATTAGAATAGGTCATCCTTATAGGCTACCCTAAGCTAATGCTGAGCAAGGGCTGGCAATGTTGGACTGTTTTATATTTTGGGGATTGTTAAGGGTGCTGTAGGCTCCAGCTCTCTGGTTGCATTCATGAAAATGGGAAGCTTAAGAGCAGCATTCCTCATACTTTGGAGGTTCATGGATAGGGTTACCAGATGTCTGGCAAAAGGAGGACATGTCCTCCTTTCTGTCCTCATAACTTTCCTCCAGCAAGCATAAACTTAACATCAAATATTGTCTGACCTTTTGTGTATCTCAAGCTGTCTCTTGCGCTACTTTTCTCCCAGGCACAGTGCTTCTCTGATAAGTGCTAACCCAAGTTAACAAACTCCACTGAGTGACCTTAATTAGTTGATTAGTACCATCCCATGGGCTTGCCCTGCTGCCTGAAATTGACAAAAACTTAATCAGTTACATGCTGAAAGCTTTTGCCTCCTAACAGGATCTAGCACATGCCTGTGATTAAAATACCAATCTTTCTGAAGTTGGAAAAAGTAATTTCATATACATATAGGACTAAGTACTTTTTCCTCAGGTTTTCACTGTATTTTTTGTCACAGATGTTAAACAGTTAGTGTGTCCTCCTTTCCCCCATTTGTCCTCCTTTCCAATTGTCCCTGTCCTTTTTTGCCTGTTCTGATATCTGGTAATCCTACGCATGGATGCTTGCAGCAATATCAGTATTTGAATCCTGAGGCCTGTGATTGTCATATACCATCTTTGCCTTTAGGAAATGTGGAGCCCATTTTGAATGTGCCTAGATTCAAGAAAAGTCTGAGACAGGTTCAAAATTGGCTTGGTGGGGTAGGGAGGGAGAGTTGGAGGCAAGTCCCGTGAAATAAATTGTGCCTAAACTTCCTCTTTGCACATCACTAAACTTGCTTTGACACGGTGGAAAAAAATTGGTATGTAGTGAAAGAGAAATAGTGGTTCAGTCCAATCTTAACAATCTGAGAATGAATACTGGCTGCCACCAAGATGTTTATTCTGCCCTGTAGGTTATTAACATGAGCAACCTAGATGTGAGATCTGGGGACCAGCAGGTCTGCTTTTTTGCTACCTGCCTGGTCTGCACTAACAGCACATATTACATTGTTTGCAACGTCTGTTGCAAGGAGTCTGATGGGCACTAAGGATGGTGTCTGTTGGTATCCCCCATAGGCACGATACTTTCTACTCCTGCCTTTTAGGCATGACTAAAGATTCCTGAGATAATAAATATGATGTATTTTATAGATTTGTAATGCAGGTTATAATATCCAGATCTTGAATTATTTTGTGCTACAGGATGTTGAATACAATATCATAGCAGCGTTAAGGAGGCAGAAGCTTAATGAAACAAGGCAGAGGTGAGTCAGAATGTTGTAATGGAAGCTAGACAGGGCTTAAATTGTACTGGAGTTTATAGTCCATCCTTGGCATCTACCCCTATTTCCAGGGCTAACAAATGGATGCCTGTAATCTAGTACAAACAGGTGATAACAACCCTACATATGTCATGAGTACACTTCCTTTGCCTCTGCTAAAACAAGAGTCTGTGCACACCAGGAATGGAATGAAGGCCTCTCAGTGTGTAGATATTGCTTCTAAAACAGTATACATATTGTTTTAGAAGCAATATCTACTTATCTATCTATCTACCTACCTACCTACCTACCTACCACAGGTTCTTTTCCACAATATCTTTTAAAATTAATACTTGCTTACAAAAGTTAGTGCATTTCTGGATCCTGGCTACAGGGAAGGAACCATGGAAATGTAGTACAAAACATTTGGAGGGCACAAGATTGTCTTCCCCTGTTATACACATTCCGTTTCATTCAATGGATTTCTGTTAAGCAGGTGTGCATAGGATGGTGCTAGTAGCGTTACTCAGAAAAGCTTGCATTCTGAATAACCAAATTGCCCTGTATACTGTCCAAGGATATATAACTACCTCACCACTTAGTGCTACGAAAACTAAACCTGACTATGAAGAATCATCTGTACTATCTTTTTGAAAGTTTTTATAGGATGGTAATCTCTCTACATTTACGGGTTGCTCAAACAGTAGTTCTATGACAGTTTTGATAAATGATGTGAAGCTCTGATGATGAGTGATCATACATCACCAACAGTACTTCTAGCATGAACTAATTCCCATTGGTAATTACTAATTAATTAATTAATTAATTAATAATGACTAATTCCCATTAGTAGTTATTATTGCTTAGCCAATGGAAGGATTTTCCAGGGAGAAGTAAAATATCTGCTCCTGTCCATTACTGCGCAAAGAGACGTACATATGATAAAAGCAAGAGGAAGCATGGGAGAACAGGGTCAGCTTGTATTCCTGCAAGAAGAGTGGAAATAATTATGACAGGAGTGTGAAAAAAACAAACACCAACCCACTTTGTTTGTTAAAGATATGCAATGCTATTTTAAAACTTTGGAAATATCACTATCCAAAGGTTATTAAAAATAATAAAGTCATTTAGCTACAGATAACATAATGGAATGCCAGTTTAATCAGTCTTGTATAGCCTGCTAATTATTAAAAGTAATTAGCCCTAAAACAACTAAAGAAATGTCCTTATTACAGGTTTTAAAAACACGCACTAAACTCTTAAGATAATGTTCTGTTTTGCTCCTGGTAAAGTACAAATTTATATTCCTTTAAATAATATGATGAGGCGACAATATTTGCACAAGACAGCTTATATATGACACTGCTCTCAAATTTTGCCCTCCTTCTACTGTGATGATTGTTTCAGGAGCTTGTGAAGCTCTATACCAGTATTTTTCAACCTCAGCAACTTTAAGATATGTGGGCTTCTACTC